GTTGTGAGTCAGTCAGCTGATTGATGGGAAAATGCTGGGAAAATGGTTGGTTGAAGGATATATATTAAGTCTAATAATGATGTACCGTGCATGTTCACATCATGTATACTTTGCATTACTTAATACCATTTTTCAAATATTTATTTTTTAACATTTTGGACAAAATAGCCAATTGTACATCGAGGTGCCCAGATGTCCCTAGTGCCCACCTATCCGATTTGAACATGCTGATATACAATGTGATGTAGTAGCCTAATGCAGGTGTAAAATCAATCATTGTATTGTGTTATAGGTAGGCTATGCATAGTTTTCTATGCATTTTGAGGGTTTTGGGGGGTTTGACCCCTCGAACCCTAGGGGGCTGGCTCCCCCAAAAGAATTAAATAACATAACCCTAACCCTAAAACCGAAATAAAGTAACAAAAAAAAGTAACTAAATCCGCCAGAAACCCGAAAATCTTCGCGCGCGCGCGCGGGGGACACATACATGTGTCCCGTTTCTCCATGTCTGGAAGTTGGCAACCCTATGTATGAGCACTGCAGTATGAGGCATGGCTACAATGGGTGAACTGTTTGGTATTTTAAGCAAAAAACTTCACAGACATGTTTTGTATGGCCCTACAATATATTTTTCCAATTTAGCATAATAGGTTAACTTTAAATGATAGGCTCCTGGCTACATGATGGTACAGTTTAATATGGAGTGAAGGATCTTGTAGACTAGAGCAACATCGCCACCTGGTGGTATCAGAGCGTTATCACTACTGGGTTCAGGAGAAATACAGTTTCAGATGTTTACATGATGAATCAACTGTTCATATGTGTTCTCATTTTATTTATTTTCTAATATTATATCCTCTACTTAAATACAAGTATGCTATGGTCAGAAAAAATCCTTTATAAGTAAAAGTCCTGAATTTCAAATGTTAATTAAGTAAAGTACAAAAGTATTAGCATCAGAATACACTTTAAGTACAACAAGTAAAAAGTACTTGAATAGTAAAAATGAATTATCAGCTAAATGTACTTCAAGAATCAAAATGTAAAGTACTTGGTGTGCAGAATGGATCTTTACAGTATTATATTGTTATGGTATTATATTATGCTGTTTTTATACAATTATTGAAGGACAATAGTTTGAGTACATGTACCTAGTCATTTCCACTACACCACAGTACACAGTTTGGTTTACATTGATTTGTATGTTACAGGACCTACAGTTATCTGGCATTTATTTGGCAAAAAAAAAAGCATAGATAGACAGAATTAACTTTGGATATTGAAACCTTTTATTAACATTTTATGTTATTCCGGAGAAGTATGAACATTACTTTTACTAGTGATCCCACATTGTAGGAATACTCTATTGCAAATATAAGACCTGCACTGTAAATATACACAAGTACTAAATATAATAGCACTAAATATGTATTCTTCATCAAATTAGTGACCCAATATAATATATTGTACCATGTTCCTATAACACATCCTTATACATACCTCATACTTAACATTAAGGCCACATTTTTTCTGGTACTCAACTTCTATTAATCTGCACACTTCTGAATTTCTTTCATTTTTATTTATTCATTCAGTCTCTGTCCTAAACTACTTGAAAATCAAGCACTTTAAATGGTACATTTTATAAATGACGCAACCTTATTTTTAAAACAATTATTACCAATTATATCAAAAGCTTTCCCTGCGAGTGTGAGTCTCTTATAACCTCTATGTAATAAGTATGGTTACCTTTTTGGGCATTTCCATTGGGAAAAATTATGTTCTGAGAAAGTACTTATTGATAAAGCAAGACAAATATTTAAGGTTGAGGCATGTGTATATACAGGGTCGGCGTCATGGGGGGTCATTCGCGGGCCATGCCCCCCCAAATGAGTCACTGTGCCCCCCCAACGCAGGGTGGGCAAGCCTTGCCACTTTGCCGATTTTTTCTTTTTTTTATCATATAGGCTAAGTGAAAACGTTTCCACTAAAGGTTTTTTGTGTGAAATACATAAGAAATAAATAATACAAATATAAAACACAGCCTGAGGTGTGCTCACTGCTGCTCTCTGATTGGTGTGTTGCTTGACCAATGACCCCCGACCTTTTTTTTGTTATCATTACGTGGCTGAGTGTTTAGATGAAAGCCCAGTGGCGGTCTGTTAATCTGTTACACTGATTATACAGTAAAGCCATCAAAAATAATATGATATACAGTACAGTACAAGTACATGGGTCTCTGTGTTTCATTCAAGCTCTGTGTGTGTGTGGCACGAGCGCATTTTGTGAGTGCGCGAGCGGTAACGTGGAATGTTGTGGTTAGCATCTGGTTAGCTAGCTATGCTAACGGATATAAAGGGCTGTTTCTACACCAAGGTGGAGGACAGTCCTCTCCTGTCAGACTGAGAGGATCTTATAACGTCAGCTCAGTGAGGTAAGGACTCTCTCAGTGTTTAGATAGTTCACTTTAGTGTAAGTTATCTCAGTGGGTCTCAAACGGTTTGGTCACCATTTATGTAAGTATTTTCGAGGAATACCTTTATATGATCATTATAGTTATTAAAAAGAGAATAAATGAAAAACGGGTATGAAATACTATAGGACAGTAACACAAGAATACAGTTTAAAAGGGGAGTGATTAGTAAAATATCCATAAAGAAAAAGTAAATCTGTTTACAGTTCTGTTTCATATGGATGCTGAGAGATGTATGCTATCCATAGATCTCTTCACTTTGCTCTCAAAGTGCACCAGATTGATGCATTTAACTTCAATATTTTAAAAATAATCTTCCCGGGGGAGCATGCCCCCAGACCCTCCTAGAGGAGGTTAGGTCCACCCCCCACCTAAAACATGTTCACATGGATAGGATACTAAATACATTTGCACACTTTTTATATGATGGCCTATGTCCATATCAAATCAAATCAAGTTTTATTTATATAGCACATTTTTCAACGATTTTTGGTCGAGCCAAAGTGCTGTATATAGGCCTACAGTATAATACAAAAATAACCTACAGTAAAGACACTTTACAGCAAATACAACAGCACAGTTTGTGCAGAATATCAGTATGAGAAAACGACACCCTCTGTCCTTATATGTTTCTGTTTTGGTGGTCGTGCCACAACCGTGCATGTATGCACAAGTCATAGGTGCACTATACAATAGCACTACACCCCTGCAATGTGTGTGAAAGACAATAGACTTTACAGCATGTTTTTTTAAATTGAAGTTGCGTTGGTGTTTGTGTGTTGGTTGTTGACGGCAGTGTGTGCCCCCCCTTGGTAAATGATTTCCCCCCCATTCAAGTTGTTCTAGAGCCGACCCTGTGTATATACAGGGTTGGGTTGTAACGGAATACATGTAACGGCGTTACGTAATCAGAATACAAAAATCAAGTAACTGTATTCAGCTCGCGTTACATTTGAAAAACGAGTAATCTGATTACAGTTACTTACGTAAACCTGAAGTGAATACATTTTGGATTACTTATTGGAATTATTGGTGGAAAGCTTTCCTCACAACATTTAATATTCATTACTAAAGGTACAGCCGAATCATCACAGCCCACAAAACCTATTACCGCCGCAGATGGACCAAAAAAAGCGTTTGAAAAAAAATCGCGGGTCCGCTCAGTGAAACAATAACAGCGAAACATGGAGGAACACAAGTCTGCGTTTAAATCGCGTGTGAGTGGTTAAAACACATCAGCCTGCGGGTCGCTCTTTCTTTAGCCTTACTAATGATTATTTCTGAAGGTAAACACAGTGAAGGCGGTGCGTGAAAGGCACTGCGTGCTCGTCTTCTCAGAGGCTGAGTTAACCCTCCCGCTGCCTCCTGGCGCTGCAGAGATGTCATGAAGTGGAGGAGGTGTTCCTTCTATAAAACAGCTGCGGGCAGCAGATACTGTGAGAGTCACGGACATGAATTCATAGATCAAGGCAGACTGGTGCACACACTCTCCTGTTTTGCCAATCCGGTGCTTAAACAAATATAGCTCCACACCCCTGGCCGAAATGTTCTTAAAATGAAGTCCGAGTTTGACATTTTAATTCATGTCCTGCCAACACTGGCAGGACAGAAGGCGACACGCTCGTTCTAAGCCGTGTCCCTCACTCCTCACATCCCAAACTGCATCCCCAAAAAGTTCATTATGTTGTTACATCGTTTCAGATGTTGTGTTTCAGTTGTGCTCTTGATAAGCCATTAAAACAGTAAAAACACATTCCTTTTGCTTTTTGTGTCTCCTGTACACCAAAACATATCTGTGATGGAAAAAGAAAGTAATCCAAAAGTAATCTGATTACGTTACTTTTTTAAGACACGTAACTGTAACTGTATTCGGATTACTTTCAGAGCCATGTAATCAGTAATCAGTAACTGATTACATTTACAAAGTAACCCTCCCAACCCTGTGTATATATATATAAATATACAATATGTTTGTGTTCACATTTTGTAAAGAATAATAAAGTTTGTAAATGTCAAACAGGATGGATCTGAATATTACACACCCAAAGTGATTTTAACTTATTTTATTCTGATTAATATGCACTTTTTAAAAATAACTGCTATGTTTTTTAATTGTCAACTCCATATTCCTCTTTGAAAACACAAAATAATGTCAATTATGTTGATAAAAAAACTGTAAACCTGCTTGTCAACCGTTTCTATAGATATCTTAGAAGTAGAAAATTACACTAAATGAAAAATGTCAAATGTAAAACTTGTATAATAGTGCATGTTCCTTAATCAAATAAATACTCTTTTTATTTTCTCTTACATTTAGAGTTAGGTACACATAATATGCATTTGCTACATAATTTGGTCATATGTTACAGTTTTTGGGGTCATCTTTATCCAGTATTATCAATATATTCCACTTATGAACTCATTACATCCTTTTTTAACCTCACCATGTTGCTGTAATGAAGTCGTTCCGTCCCCTCTGGCAATAAGGTATTTTACTTTGAAGTCCAAACGGAAGTAACGTTGAGGCGTCAACGCTTTTATTTTTGAAACAGAAACCGGAAGCAGTCTGTAAGTGCTTAATCTGCATGTAACTTTACGCTCGTACCGGACAGCTGCCACACTCTGGACTCGGACTGAGCCGAACTGTGTAAGTAAACCCACAATCCTCCGTTACAGCCCGCGAGCCGCCTAACGGTTACACCGAGCTGTACACAAACAAATGCCGTCCCAAAAATAATAATTCATAAGTATGTGATGTCGAGCACAGCGGTAATGGAGGCGGTAGGGAAATCGGTCGATGTTTCTAGGCCTGTGTGACAACAGTTTGATTCGCACAGGCAATAATTGTGTTTAAATGGACTTATTTACCACAGTGATATATACGTGTGTGGCTGTATGGGTCCATGATTAATAATGCAAGATAACGTCGTCAGTAATGGAGTTACAGCAGTTAAATTGCAGTGCAATGAAATGTTATACAGCTAAATGAATATGAAGGAATGTGTAGTGTTGTGGATTTCCCTTATCGATAGTGTAGATAAACATCATCATATTCCTTTAATATTATCTATATTTAAGACGTTTACATCTCCAAATATTGCCATAGAACTGTATATTGAGCCTGTGATTTATTACCGTATTATGTTTGCTCCACTGGTTTACCCTTTATGTGCTTTTTTATTATTATATGATATACTTGAATAGTGTCTCTCTGATGTATATCTACTCAGTTAGTCGATATAAATAACATGAATCAGCAGTTAGTTTGATAATTGATTAATTGCTGTGATTTTTTTTAAAGGAAACATTTAGAAATGTGATTGATCCAGATCCTGTAACTGGGAGATCTGCTGGTTTTTTTTTTTATTGCAAATGGAATATCTTAAGGATTGGTAAATAATAATTAAAAACACATGGCAGATTATTAACAGTAATAACTGTTGCCATACTGCACGTCCATTATAGTGACTGTATTGGTTATAAATACCTAGATATCTGGCTTGATGATTGTCTCACTTTTAAACTTCATGTCAATAACCTGCTTAAAAAGCTGAGGGTTAGGCTAGGTTTCTTTTTCAGAAACAAGTCCTGTTTCTCTTTTGAAGCCAGGAAAAGCCTCTGTGACCTTTTTACCTGTGCTGGACTATGGTGATTTGATCTATATGAATGCACCTGCCGCCTATTGCCTGAACAAGTTCGATGCCGCCTATCACAGCGCACTGAAATTTGTCACAAATTGTAAAGCACTTACTCATCACTGTACCCTGTATGCCGAGGCAGGTTTGCCATCACTTACTGTAAGAGGCTCAGTCATTGGTACACGTTTATTTATAAAGCTTTGTTGGGTAAACTCCTGTATTATATCTGCTCTCTGATCACACAGAGAGTTGCAAGCAGCTACTGTCTGAGATCGCATGATGTAGTATTGTTAGATGTGCCAAGAGCAAGGACTGTCTTAGGTGAGACAGCTTTTATGTGCGCAGCTCCACTTGCTTTGAACAGTCTTCAGCAAGAATTGAAACTGAGCAATCTCATTCCTCTGCATGTTTTTAAAGCTAGGCTAAATGAAATGCTTGTTGATACTATGGGCACTTGTAAATGTCTATAACTATGTAAATGTATCCTGTAAATATAATGTATAATGTCCTTTATTGTTTTATGTTTCATGTGGAACCTATATGCTGCAGGTCTCCCTTGAAAAAGAGATCTATGATCTCAATGGGACCAATCTCGTTAAATAAAGGTTTGAAATGATTGGATTATATGTTTCACCTGTCATTGTGGAGTTTCTGCATTGTCATTTTAATTCAGTATCTGTATGACACTTTCCAACAAGAAAATATGGTAGCCCATCATAATCATTTGTAGGATTAGTGTAGGTATGCGGTGTAAGACAAAGCATGGTCAAAGGGGGGGTGTGAGTTCCTTGGTAACAAAGTCTTCCTGATTTGAGAGCTTTTGAATGACAGTTTCCCTGTTCATTGTCATTTGAATATCAAGCGTTTTCCCTTCACACACACACACACACACACACACACACACACACACACACACACACACACACACACACGCATTACACTTCCTGCTGATTGTATAGTGTGAACTTTTTTCAGGTTCATTGTTTTTGAAATCCCTCCTCTGCTTGAATTGACATTGAAAAAATACATTTTAGGATCCAAATGGCCACAAAGGTGCAACATTTTCAGTATTCTTTTAATACATTGAGGTGTATTATCACCAGGCTTTCTACCAAGGCTGCATTGCAAAAACATAAAAATGTAGGCTGCATTCAAAGCCTTCTCCAGTTTTGTGTTTGAGGCGGTTCAGCTGGTCACCTGCTTGTTGCAACGCGTTTATTGTGGGAGGGAAATGAAGGTTGTTAAAGGCATGACTCAGCAGCTGGACAGTTACTCATCCATATGTTGTACAGACCTTACAGAGCATTTAAAACATATTATCACAATGTATGAGTTGAAATGTGTAGCCCTTTTTTGATTGTTTACGATTGGGTGATCGGAACATTTCTCACAACTCTATAGAAACTTTAAATCCTAAAAATCTAAACTTTTTTAAGATAAGAAAATTCAATAATTTCCAAAATTCACAACACGTTTTTATTTAACGACATATAGGAGAGGTAGGAGCTTCCGATTAATTTAATTTCAAATCCAACTGAGACGAAAACAAGATGTATAACCATGAAGTATTTTCATTCAGGTCATGTTATTGCATACGTGCAACCTCCCTGCAGGTTCATTAAATGATGCCCATGTCTGTGAGTGGTTCTGAATGTGCCCCCCCCCCCCCCCCCCACAGCGTTCCTGTGATGCCCCAGGGTGGGTTGAGCTGCTCGGGGTTGCGATGCCTTATGTGGACCGACAGAATCGCATCTGCGGCTTCCTGGACATCGAGGAAAATGAGAGCAGCGGAAGGTTTCTGCGCCGATACTTCATCCTGGACACCAAACAGGAAAACCTGCTGTGGTTCATGGACAACCCACAGGTGAGGGAGCGTGTGTTTGTGAGGGAAAGCGAATGAATGGGTGTGTGTACATGATTGACAGCTTCTTCCATGTGTCTGACTTTATAGAGATTCTTCTTTGGTTAGTCCGCACTGAAAACATCTGAACCAACTGAGCACACTTGTGTTTGGTGGTATTAAAAAGAGATTGTTTGGGCGCTTTGTTTTGAAGTTCAGATGCGTGTTTAGTGCTCACCATCAGGTACAGTGATGAATTTCCTTCCTTCCAGGCAGCTATTATTAACCTCAGCTCACAATGAAAGTGAACTAGCAGTGACTTGCAACTTCAGGGAGTTCTGGGAGAGAATGCTTGCTTTAGTTGCCTTTATTTTTTTAGCAAAGTCAGGTCGTTTTCAGGCATGCAGTTAGGAGCAGTAACCTCTTTAAAAGCCTCCATGGTGGTGCTTTCAAGGACTCGCAACACCTGGTTGTTGAATGCTGAAAAGGATTTCATTTTGAGTTAAAAGGCTTTTTTTGTCAAACAAGCTGAACTAACTTAGTTGGGACTATTTTCATTGACGGATTAAAACATATTTGGTACTCTATTGAATTTTGGGGAGACAATAAAGAACATTACCTGCCTTTAAGAGGCCATATTATGCTTTTTAGGGTTCTTCCTTTCCTGTAGTGTGTAACATCGGTTTTTGTGCATATAAATGGTCTGCAAAGGCTAAAGTCCCTGCATTCCCTCCTGAGGGAGTTTCTCTCCCACACTCCCCCCGTTTCTATTGATTAGCGCTTATATGTGATAGGCTAATGGTGTGTTCACAGCGGACACAATACGAAGATTTGCTGGTGAGAACGGTTGACCAATCACAACAGAGCCGGCCAATCAGATGCTAACCAATCAGAGAAGACTGGGCTCTGGTTTCAGACAGAGGGTGAAAGAGGTGCTGCAGCACAGGCAGTATGAGAACAATAAAGAGCTTTTTCAACATTAAAGCATGGAGACATGTGACATGAACATGAACACTGTGATGCATTGCCTTTAACTCTAAATCACGTCTTTGAAAAAGCTGGTATCAACTAAACTGCTACCCCCCTCCCCCTCCATATTTGTAAACTAATTAAATAACATTTCAATTAAATGGCATTGTCAAACAAGCTTCAATATGCTCTAAAGTAAAAAAAGAATAAACCAAGAAACAGTTGGTAAGGCAGAGGAAGGTGGGGTGGATTAACATTTTGGATGAAAAAGAAACAGGAAGTTGTGGCTTTGTTGGACAGAACTACACTTGACACATATTTTAGTGCACTTGGTTGAAGCTGTATAACTCACTTGTGTGAGGAGTTTGATAAGACCTTATCAAACACATGTGAGTGGTGTGACAGAAAAACAGGAACCAGAACAGAAACTGAAAAGGGTAGTAGTATTTATATTTCCCACGGCCGGGGAATTCCTCAAACGCTGCAGGTTTTTAGCTGCTGCCAGTGGACAGATTATTGATTAAGAATGCTGATAACTAATAATCGTCGCTATTTTATTATTATATTCAATTATATTTGCAACAAAAACGTTTTAAATGTTTAGATTTCCTCTAATGTCAGGAAATATGTTTTTCTTTAAAGAAAATTATGCTTTCGGCCTTTAGCAGTCACAGGGGGAAATTAATACATCCAAATTAATGTGCAAATTCCAACTATAAAGTTCTTGTTTTATATAGAAAATATTCTTATATATATAAAAAAATTTATATCCTACATTTTACCAAGCCGTAATGCAAGCTTTTTTGATGGAATAAGTAACAAATCCATTTTTGTTTTACAATAATGCTACCAATTTCACTTCTACAACTTCTACATCTTTGTGTGTCTTTGTTTAGAATCTGCCTAAAGGTGCAGAGAAGGTGGGATCTCTCAAACTTACCTACATCTCCAAGGTAAGTCCCCTTTCTCTCAAACACACACATACACACACACACACACACACACGTACAATACACACAAACGCACCCTTTCAATTTGTCCATATCTTGGTGTAAGACAAAAACGGATGAAATTCCCTACTTCTTCTATGCTAAGTTAAGATGATGATAGTGTCCTTTCTGGATTCTGGCTTTGTATTTCTAACACATTTTGACTGAGTTTCCAGACAATCAGCGTAAGAAAATATTAATGAATGTCACTGCAAAGTTTAACTCTACTCTTTCTCTCGTTCAGGTCAGTGATGCAACCAAACTCAGACCGAAAGCCGAGTTCTGCTTTGGTAAGTTCATCGTTGTTTTCTTCTCCCCATCTTCTTCTCCTTCCTCTTGTCTTTTGCTCACTACATTCTCCTTCTATCTTTGCATTTGTATAGAGGGCAAATTGACTACCTTTCACCCCACAAAATATCATATTCTTCTGCCTATGTTCCTCATTTAACTGAATCAAAATACACCTGTACACCTTCTTCATTTAAAGTGGACCTATCATGCTATATTTGAACAATATATTGTAGGGCCATACCTATATAAGGTATATAAATATAGTTGTTTTTTTTCAAAATACCAAACAGATCCTGCATTTTAGCCATGCCTCATTTCGCTCTATTTGCTCTTTCCAGCCCTGTTTTTGCAGGGGGCTGATTGAGCTGCAGCTGACCACGCCCCCCTGCAGGAGAGGGGAGCGTGCTTTGAGATCAGCTGCTGGGCCCAGAAGCGGGGGAGAAAAAGAGATCTCCGTCCTCCGTGTTTTATTCTTATATATGATTATATAGAGTCATTATTCATTTGTTTTAAAGCTCAATAAATAACAAAGAAGACCTTTGACCGGCACTTTTCTAATTTTGTCCGGAAGATTTTAACTGTAACGGACATGTTGACCGGCGGAGAAAAATCTAACAAACTCTGTCAAGAAAATATTTATGTCAATGTCCACATATAGGAGCAAAATTAAGATGTCCACATACTTTCCAACGTACTTTTCCTTATTTTCATCCTCTTCCCGTCTCCTCTACCCTTTTTTCCTCCAATCTCCTTCAATTCCACTCTTTATTCCCTTCCTTCGTTCCTTGTTTCTGCTATTCCTTTTCCTTTCTTTCCCTCTCTACCTCCTTCTTTTCCTCTCCCGTTCCTGGTTTATTTCCTTCCTCTCTTTTGTCCCTTGCAGCTTGTTGTTCCTCTGGTGGTCCACAGTAGCTGTTTGTCACTCAATAGGAGGAAACTGTACAATGACCTGATCCCTGCATGTGTTAACGTCCCATCCAGATGCACATACACTCAAATCACTTTTCTAATTTTGTCTGGAAGATTTCAACTTTAACGGACATGTTGATCGGCGGAAAAAAATCTAACTGAAACTCTGCCACGCGGTCCCCTCGTTCCTTGGAAGAGGCGGAGAGGTGGGTGTTTGTCATCTGCTGGTGGACTACCGGAGAGAATTACAGCGCTTGCCTCGACGGGGAGGGATTGCATTGAATTACAGCAGCAGGAGGCGCAAACGCTGCTTGCCTCGGGGAGGGAGAAAAAGAGCCACAGCGGAGAATAAACAGAAGGGCAACCATGGCAACCATGCGCGGGAAGTCTTCTTCGCTGCTTTTGTGGCAGACTACAGCGCCACTTACAGGCCTGGCATATGTACTACAGCGTCTCCAGCGCTTTCGAGTGCCAATGGCCGGCCGTGGCCCAACCCCACATTCTCCTGATAGGCGGAGAGTTGGCCATATAGGCGGAGCTCCTCGTTCCTGACACCAGAGCATTTTCAAATCTGGATCAGTCTGTATCAGATCCGTTGCAGCCCCGTTTTTAGAGATTTGGGTATGGAGGAAAAGAGAGAGGGTTGTGTTTTCTGACACTTGGTGAGTTCCCTGGATCACCGGGGACACATATTCATGTATAAAAGACGTACAAAAGTGCATTTTGCATGATAGGTCCCCTTTAAGTTGATCTGGTTAACTGAACTAAGACTAGCTTAATTGCTAGGCTTGCTAACTTGTGGTAAACACACTTTATTTAAACTCGAAGGAAACAAAATAAAACATATTGGTTATTCTTATCCCTGTTCTAACAATCAACAACTGTGGTTTGGCTGAATTAAACCATTAATTAACGGGTTACATGTGAAATTATATTCAAAGGCAGACCATTAAAATGAGTGAAGCAAAAATCCAAAAATCTGCTTTTTTGTGTGTGATTTGGCTAGGCCCCTTTAGCTCCAATGTAGGGAAATCTGAAGGTTTCTATATACAGTTATATTTGAGACAATAGTGTGCTTCCAGTTTGTGTTTGTCTCTTTCCTGTTACAACTTGACAATGACACAAAAAGGCGGCTCCATAGAGCAATGGTTTCCCCCTTTCGAGTGAAAAAACTGTACTGGACTGCACTGATCCCTGACCCCATCGAACACCTTTAATATGTATATAAAAGCCAAAACAGCTACACAAATGTCTGCAGTGAGTTCAAAATTGTCTAAAAGCTGCAACAAATATTTATGTCCATGTCTACATATGGGAGCAAAATTAAGATGTCCACATACTTTCCAACGCACTTTTCCCTATTTTCCTCCTCTTCCCGTCTCCTCTACCCTTTTTTCCTCCAATCTCCTTCAATTCCACTCTTTATTCCCTTCCTTCCTTCCTTCCTTCCTTGTTTCTGCTATTTATTTTCCTTTCTTTCTACCTCCTTCTTTTCCTCTCCCGTTCCTGGTTTATTTCCTCTCTTTTGTCCCTTGCAGCTTGTTGTTCCTCTGGTGGTCCACAGTAGCTGTTTGTCACTCAATAGGAGGAAACTGTACAATGACCTGATCCCTGCATGTGTTAATGTCCCATCCACACACACACACACACACACACACACACACACACACACACACACACACACACACACACACACACACACACACACACACACACACACACACACACACACACTCTCTCTCTCTCATCAGGTCAGAGTCATTGTACAGTTTCCTTCTTGCTTCCTCTGCCTCTGAAAAGAACCAAACTGATATTTTTAGTTCATGATTTGCATGAAGCTCAGGGAATTTTTCTTCTTCCTCTTGTGTTTTTCACTTTTGTGTTTCAAAGTTAGAAGCGGATGACAACCAACACATTGACATTTCTCTGTTTGACTTTCCCTTTCTGCAGTTATAAATGCAGGAATGAGGAAGTTTTATCTGCAGGCCAACGACCAGCAGGATTTGGTGGAATGGATCAGTGTTCTCAACAATGCTACCAAGATTACTGTGAGCCTAACACACACACACACACACACACACACACACACACACACGCACACACACACACACAACACACACACACACACACACACACGGATCAATAGATGACCCTGTTTCTCCTGCTGTTGTACGCCACTCTGTCTTCTGCCTCAGGGTATGGCAGATGGAAAATTACCCATCAGGCTAGAGAGATTAAGTTCAGTTCAGGCTTACGGGCCGTCCACACTACAGCTTCGACAGCTTCAAAAGCGGTTTCCAACGCGTCTGCCCATTCACTTTGAATGGGGTGACGTCACGTTGCCTCGCTTTTCACCGAACTGAATTGTGGGTAGCATAGCGGTCCGTCTCCGGCGTCTCCGGTGTCAGAAGTTGAACAATGTTCAACTTCTGACACCGGAGACGCCGGAGCCAATCAAATCCCGTTTCTGAAAATCTGACAGCTCAAGCCCTAGCCAATCAAACCGCGTCTAAGCTGGGAGAGATATCCCGCCGTTCATTTCTATATTTAAAAAAAAGATGGAGGAGAAACTAATTATCGCCGTAGCAAATCACCCGGTTTTGTATGACCAGACCCTCTTCACCTACCGGGATACAAACCGGAGGAACCAGGCATGGAGAGAGGTGGCAGAGACAGTGGGTGAAACTGGTAGGTTTTCGCCTGTTTGGGGAGTTTATATATATATATATTGCTCGCATAAAATCCCCGGGGTTTTTTGCTTTGTATGTCGGGGGCGGGAGATTCATGTGATTGGTTGTTGGTCGCGTTGCTCGAATAAAATCCCCAAGCTTCAGACACGCCCAGCTCCAAGATTTTTTTTAAGCTGTAGTGTGGACGCTCCGTTACAGAGAGTATGACAGAGAAGATGGGAGCTTTCATATCCACCTGCAGCTGTTTGTGGTCATGTCTGGACCTTAAAAGTTATTCAATATTTCATCCCACTAAATTTACAGACGTGGCCACAACCACTAACGGCCACCATGGGACGTCTCTGTTTCACTAAATAGCGTGTGATGCAGGATATGAAATGTTTGCATCTGCTACTCCTAACCCTGCTATTAAAGGGTAGAAGGAAATAAAGAAAACACTGGCTAAACACTCACTAAAACAACAGTTAACCGACATACAAATATTTTAAATTACTCAGAGGTTAAAACTATCTATCATAAAGGACTTTATACATAAAGCTTGAAATTGCCACAGAGCGCTGTGCTCAAAGTTTGAATTATTGTACTTATTTGTATGTAGTGTCTCTACTGTGACATCTCTCCATGCTTTAAGGTTCAAAAAGCTCTTTATTTTTCTCATACTGCCTGTGCTGCAGCACCTCTTTTCACCCTCTGTCTGAAACCAGAGCCCATTCTGCTCTGATTGGTTAGCTGGCCGGCTCTGTTGTGATTGGTCAATCTCTTAGAGATGTCTCGCCCTCTCACTTACAATGTGTTGGGGCGCTAGCCAATAGAAGAGTGATTGTTACATAGTGATGTCACTTTGTAATATGTCAATTAAATTGTACTTGTATAGCCGAATATCACAAAACACATTTGTCTCAGTGGGCTTTACAGATCAACAAACATACATACAATAACAACAATATAATACAATTCAAGATGGAATGTAAAATAGAAAAATAAAAAAAAACACTGAAATAGTAGAACCATGGAGGATGTTTCTCCTCCTGAAAGCTGAACCAGCCCTAACTATAGACTTTATTAGATGATGATGATGATGATGATGATGATGATGATGATAATAAGACCAAATCAAAAGGATTTGTAAGCTTTGCTGCCTGTCCCTGTCTTTGAAGGCATTACTACAAATATAAACCACTTTAACCTTCAACCCTTTGAGGGTATAAAAAGTGTGTTTGACGGACAGGACTGTTGTTTAACTTCCGGATGTTTCTTTAGGTGCCAAAGCCAGACGAGGGCCAAACAACTGCAGAGACTACCCAAGACGTTCTTGGAGCCATGAAGCAGGTCTCCTACAAGACTGAAATTATAGGAGGAGTCCCAATCATCACAGCTACCCAGGTAACTGAAGTTACCTACTGTAACTCCAGCTTCTATGAGCATAGGCGTAGCCCTCTAAGGCTATCGCTATTGGGTAATCCCCTGCGCACCTCCGCAGCACTGAAAACACTTGTAGTCCACGCCCACCTGCGAGGTGGGCCCCACCTTCGGACTCGCCTTTGGAGGCCCGACAATCTGCTCCCACACAAACAGCTTTTCTTCAGCTATTCATGGAGCCAGTGGGGCCCAGAACTTAGAGGGCTACGCCTATACTCATTGAAGCTGGAGTTACAGTAGGTGACTTCAGTTCTATTTCGTATAGGCTTCGCCCTCTAAGGCTATCGCTATTGGGTTAAGGGCGAAGCATGATGTAGCCTGTGCCCCACTGGGTCCGCCCAGTACTGTAGGAGTCGGGAGGGCTGATCATTTATTCCGGCAAATTACTCAGACCTACTAATTGATCTAACAGAAGTTATTGAGTCTATGTAAGTTTACTGCTTGGCCCAGATCCACCAACGTCAGCAAGATCTCACCTCTATTAACTCCTGAAGAACCAGGTTCAATTAACTGCTGTTTCAATTCAGACGACCCGCTAAATCTGTTTAAGCGATTCCGAAGGATTTTGATATCAGTAATGAGGTGTGGCCCTACCTAAGTGTGAGTGTGGCAGTGTGCAATCTTACCTTTTAAGCAGGAGAGGAGAGCACCGATGTCTTTTAAGTTGTCCCAGTCCAAAAGATGGGATCAGTTTATTTGAAGAAAAATGGTCCAAACGTATACAGGGTTTCTACCTTCTCTTGTTACAACATTATAATCATACTAAACATATCATGCTGTGGTCATTTTCTAATATGCAACTCTAATTCACAGTTTTACATTTATTACCCTAAATTGTAACTTCAACTGCCCAATTCAGTTGTGACATTTAAATTCGTCTGACAGTATTTAGAGGCATCTCCTCATAAATGACTGGTGATAATAAAAAGCACATTCAAACTTTCATTCACCAAATTAATTCACATCAATTCCATACCTATATTCCGTCAGGTGGCGGGAGCTAACATCCACAAACACATACCTATATTCCGCATGAATTCGGAGGAAGATCCTCGCAGGTGGAGGGTACTAATACTCACAAACACACTCCTATATTCCGACAGATTGTGGGTACTAACATTCACAAACACATACCTATATTCCGCATGAATTCGGAGGAAGATCCTCACAGGTGGCGGGTACTAATACTCACAAACACATATCAATTCATTCCACTCATTCAACCCAGAAATTCACTCCGCTTTCAACAAAGAAATTCGAGAGATATTTACCAAGTTTGAGAAAACCTTACCGAGAGCAAAAACTCAGTGTAGCGGCTTCAGAGCCTTCTCTACACACTTTGGAAAAATGCGAGGAGCCAGGGAATATCCGAACGGCAGACGATTGTCTGGTCTGATATTCCCTGAAATGAGAAACGCAGGAATTTCCTGTGTTTCGGGATGATGGGTACGTAGAGTATGCATCCTTCAGGTCTATGGAAATGAACCAGTCGTCCCGGTGAACACATTCCAGCACCTGTTTGATTGTCAGCATGTGGAATACTGACAGGTCAAGGATGGGTCTCATTCCCCCGGTCTTTAGAATTAGAATTAGAAAAATAACGGGAGTAAAAACCCCTGATTTTCCTCCCTTTGAGGAACCCTGTTCCTGGGATGACAGGAGTGTTTCCTGTATCCAATTGAACTGCTGGGGGGGAGAGGCGAACTGCAGAGTACCCTCTGCTGATCAGCCTGCTCATCCATCTGTCCATCAGACATGCATGCGCTTTCACTCTGAGAGCGGGCATACATGCTCGTGATGTGCTGTGGTCGTCATGGTGACGAACCACGCCAGAGCCCTCGCCGCTGCCCGTGAGGCAACCCAAGGTGGGCCTGGACCGAAAGGGCTGCGAGGGAGCCTCCACACTAGTGTTAATTTCATTGGCTAAAACTATGACGAAATATGTTTGTCAACGACCTTTTTTTCCATGACGAAAATGAGACGATGACGAGACGGCACCGACGGCAGTAAACAATAACTGCAACAAAATCATCATGCAATATCGTTGACGAAAAGTGACGAGACGAAAATGTAGTTTACTAAATAAAAACTATGTCAAAATCTCTCTTTACTTTCGTTGACGAAAAATGAAGAGACGAAATATTATCAAAGATAACGTTACATTTCTGATAGTCAGTTTTTCTCCCAGCAGTTCCATTTCCGGTGCTGCGGCAGGGCAGCAGCTGTGTGTCTATGCTGCGCGCGGCGGTACATTTGAATTACACCGGGCAGCGGCACACTGTGTACTGTCAGGAAGACTCGGGTCTAACTCATGGTCTAACTAACCTTCAACAGAAAATAAAATGGCAACAACAGGGCTTGGGAGCAGTGGTTGCACTCGCGTTAACCGAATACCTCCCCGTCAGCGCGAGTGAGTGATAAATTGTGCACTCGACGGGTAATAATGGATTATGACGGAAATGTTACAATCCTGTCCGTCAAAATGACTGACAACGAAAAAGTCTAAAGCCACCACTGCTTGGGAGAAAGAAACGATGTGATATTTGGGCCCATTTTCGCTACAATGAGGCGGAGAAAAAAAGCGAATGCATTGTTTCATCAGAAGGGAAGCAATGTGGCCACAGCTGGTAAATACACCACAAACCTGAGCAGATCCTCTCTGCAAAGCTTCTCAATCATTCAACCTGAGTTTTTCATCAAATAAGGACAATATATAATCTTATTTATTTATATATACTAAAATGACAAAGTATTGGTTTTGGTTAGACTAGTTTGACTGAAATGTTCTATATAATCTGATGACTAAAAAAGACTCAACAGTTTTCATTGACAAAAAGTAGACTCAAATAATTAGTTTTCTTTGACTAAAATAAGACTAAAATGCTCAGACTTTTAGTCGACTAAAACTTGACTAAATAAAAACAGGATGAAGGTGACTAAATATGACTAAAAAGGAAATGTAACACAGGAGTCAGGACTAAGACTAAAACTAAATAAAAAAATAGCTGACGAAATTAACACTGCTCCACACGCTCAGGGGATGAGTGGAGGTGTGTGCAGTGCCGTTATAAGGCGTTATAACGGCTTATTATGACCGTGTGTAGGAGGTATATCTGGGACAGAGGAATGCCGCGAGCTCTGCAGTTTATTAACCGATACGTTAAAAACAGCAGGCTTCTGCAGCGAGCCCTGCTGGCTACTAACCGATAGGTCAGAGGCAGCTGGCTTACACAGGGTGGGGCATATGTGAGAAACAGTTGTTACTAATGACACAGACAAACTGTTGGAAAATGAAACTTTTTTATTTTCTTCACAAAAATCCCCCCCCAAACCGTCAGTATCGGCCCTGCTTCTTCGTAGGCTCTCGCGGAGCAGACCAGGAGCGGGGGTGCCTCGATTCCCTCCGACTCCGCGCCGGGAGACCCTGTCTCTCGGGTGGCGGAGGAGCAGAGACGTGGGATGGAGCCCCCGCGGCCGCCAAAGGGCAACCCTGACGCCGTGGCTGTGGATGCTGCGGGCGATCCGTGGATGGAGGCGGGGTAGGAGTCTTCCGACTCCTGCCCAGAACTCGGATCAGCACTCGGATCCAGAAACTCAGGAACTCAAGGGCTTGGTCCACGGAGTAGGACTCTGGACTGGCCAATCATCCTCCTCGGCCGTAGTAGCGAGAGCGTCTGCTCTTCGCTGTCTGTCAGCCAGAGGGAGACTGGCACAATGACAATGAGCACATGACACCTGCTGGGCGAGAGCTGGGCGAGAGCTGGGCGAGAGCTGGGCGAGAGCTGGGCGAGAGCTGGGCGAGAGCTGGGCGAGAGCTGGGCGAGAGCTGGGCGAGAGCTGGGCGAGAGCTGGGCGAGAGCTGCGTGCGCGTGCTCCGACCCCAGGCAGGATTCGCATCGTGAGTGCCGGTCATAACTCATTATGAACCCTGTCTGGCATGAGGAGCAAACTCTAACACAACCCTGTGTATTCATGTTTAAGGATCTTTTTCGAGGTGGCTCTTAAAAGAGCCTTTACTCTTTAGTGTCTCTACAGTGCTTCAGTACTGGGGTGCTGAAGAAAAGAAGGAGCAGATTGTCGGGCCTCCTTCCTATTTATACCGGAAGTGAGTCCGAAGGTGGGGACCCCAAGTGTTTTCATTGCTGCACGGGTGTGCAGGGGATAACCCAATAGCGAGGTCAATAGCCTATACGAAATAGAACACTCACACTGCTGTTGTATTAGCAGCTGTTAGCAGGTCCGGTCCTGTCAGTGTTGGTATGCAGCCACACTCACCCGACACGCTCCAACACAGACCAGCAATGGTTGGAATTTGATGACTGGAAGCCTAGGTTGCACCATCAAGGAGTTAAGTTAAAACGTCTTAAAATAACCAAAAAAAAACAGTTTGAACCCAACTTATAAATAAATGCATTTGCATGCTGTCATCAGGGGCATTAACTTTTGGCTTCTCTGTATTTCCTGACAAAATGCTACACTCCAGGCTAACTAAAAAGTCAGTAGCCAAATATTACTCATGAGTCGGTAGAACAACTCTAATGTATTCTCTTTTGGGAAATAATATAAGATTAAAAAAGTGGACAAGATCACCTATTTTCTTCAGTCCATCTCAAAAAGGCAGCCATATTAAAAGATACTCTTCCTCAACAATAGGTTTAGAATAAAACTTGATCCCAATTTTAAGACTTTTTTGTTGCAGCATAATTCAATTTAAGAGTACGAACTTATTACATGTTTAAAGACAGGTTTAAATGTAGTCTCTCTTTGGGATTATAGCCTTTGCAGACCATTTGCATTCCTGAATTCTACACTACAGGAAGGGAAAACCCCAAAAAACATAATAGGGCCTTTTAAACCGTGAGCTATTCACATTTTTAAAACTAAACCTTATTTGTGCAACCCAGACATAGAGTTTAAAAAAAAAAAAGATTCATCACGTGTCTTTTCTAAACAATGCTAAATCAGTAGAGACAAATTAAGAAATGTGATGTTCCCCATTCCAAAGAGATGCTAATGTTGCACCGTACTTGCTGAATGTGCAAATAAGAAGCTTTTTTAAGTTGTAAAATGTTTTGTTGTATGTGTGTGTTTCAGGAGCAGGGGGAGGGGCAGACCGAGGGGGAGCGGGGAGGTTTGAAGAAAGGTCAAAATCAGCTTCCCTACTTCCTGTCCAGAGGAGTGCAGGACCAGGCCATCAAGGCCGGATACTGTGTCAAACAGGGGGCTCTGGTGAGGCCACACACACACACACACACACACACACACACACACACACACACACACACACACACACACACACACACACTGCTGACACAGCAATTCTGGTCATTTCAAACCGCATAATTCACAAAAAAAACAATATTCTTGAAAAAACAAAAATAAATTGATTAAACTTAAAGGTGGGGTAGGTAAGTTTCAGAAACCGGCTCGAGTGCACTACAATTTGAAAGTACACAGCAGAAAATAATCCACCCCTTCCTTCAGACTTCCTTACAGAGCACCTCCTCCAACACACATGAACGCGCACATGACGTCAGCAGACTGGTGAAAGTGGCCGCCTGTTACTGGCGAGTCATTGAAGTACTGCTGCAATGCACGCCCAATGAGGGCACGAGATACATTTGTGCGTGCACGAGATGGAAGGCTGACAGACAGGTCGTCAATCCAATCCGTTTAGCCGGCCCGGCTAAACGGATTGGATTGCCGCCCTGTCTGTTGGTTGTACTTTTTACAGTACCACGGCTTCCATAGATGACATTTTTTTATGGATTTTTTGTTAAAGCTCTTAAGATATTCATTGCTATCGGGATGTTAAGAGCATTCCATGGAATATAACAAAAAGTGTATCTCGAGCCGGTTTCTGAAACTTACCTACCCCACCTTTAAAGTGGACCTATCATGCTATATTTGAAACACATATTGTAGGGCCATACCTATATAAAACATGTCTGTGAAGTTTTTTTTCAAAATACCAAACAGATCATGCATTTTAGCCATGCCTCATTTCGCTCTATTTGCTCTTTTCCAGCCCTGTTTTTGCAAGGGCTGATTCTGCTTTTGTGGCAGACTACAGCGCCACTTACAGGCCTGGCATATGTACTACAGCGTCTCCAGCGGTCTCTCATTCCCCTGATAGGTGGAGAGTTGCCCATATAGGCAGAGCACCCCTTTTCTGACGTTAGAACAATTCAAATAATAATCAGCTCCGTTTTTAGAGATTTGGGTACGGAGGAAAAGAGAGAGAGTTGTGTTTTCTGACACTTGGTGAGTTTTCTGACACACCGGGGACACATATTCATGTATAAAAGACGTACAAAAGTGCATTTTGCATGATAGGTCCCCTTTAACCAAAGAAATGGTAAAGCAGAGTATGCTTGAGGACCTTGTGATTGACAGGTTGCTACTATGTGGTTGTACTTAGTTCCACTCTCTTTTGACACTTCTGGTTCCTTAAAACCAAGATGGCAGCAGCCAAAGTGCCAATCTCAAGGCTTTAAAACCATAGTAACCTATGTGTGTACACTTATGTTGATAATTCTGCTCCTCTTCCTCAGATGAAGAATTGGAAGAGGAGATACTTCATGCTGGAAGAAAACGCTCTCAGCTACTACAAATCTGACCTGGTGAGACAATATGTTTTTTTCTTTCTTTTTGAATGAACCAATTGTTAAAAAAGTATCATGTTACAGCAGTATGCATATGTGTTCATGTAGCTACTAGCCACACTCACTGTTGGCTTACATTACACTTAAGCATACACACACACACACACACACACACACATACACACACACACACACACACACACACACACACACTGCTTACTAGTACTGAGGAATAAAACTGTGCACATATAACAATTGTGTGTGTGTGCAGTGACTCTCTCTGCACTCAGTTAGTTGTGTGTACACGCAGCAGCATGTTTCCTGAATTCCTCCTCATGTTATCTACGTGTGGAGAGATTAGCGACTCCTTACCACAGCCTGCCTGTGCACATACATGGACACACCTAGTGTTGCGTGTGTGTGTGTGTGTGTGTGTGTGTGTGTGTGTGTGTGTGTGTGTGTGTGTGTGTGTGTGTGTGTGTGTGTGTGTGTGTGTGTGTGGTGTGTGTGTGTGTGTGTGTGTGTGTGTGTGTGTGTGTGTGTGTGTGTGTGTGTGTGTGTGTGTGTGTGTGTGTGTGTGTGTGTGGTGTGTGTGTGTGTGTGTGTGTGTGTGTGTGTGTGTGTGTGTGTGTGTGTGTGTGTGTGTGTGTGTGTGTGTGTGTGTGTGTGTGTGTGTGTGTGTGTGTGTGTGTGTGTGTGTGTGTTATATTCTGAAGCTGCCAACCAAATGATACTATAAAGCTCATGAATGCAATCACATGTTAAAACATACTGTATAGTATCAACCTCAGTGTATCATAAGAAAGCCTGACAGCTACAGATGACGCAGCTGAACTAAAGTCTGATATGAGAAGAGGAAATCAATTAAGTTTACCAGAGGTGCTCTTTAAATAGTCTATAATTATATAATGTCAACTATGATAAGTCAGTGACCAGCAGAAAGTTTGAGCTGTGGGTTGGTGAGCTAATCAGCATGTGAGGGTAGAAATGTAATGGTAACTAAGTAAGTGGCCTCTTTTTTTACCACTGGCAGTTTTGGTTGGATTATGTGATGATGTATACTTTGAGAAAGTAATCATTAGTCCAGGGTTAGAGATCCATCTGTATGTATTATAGAGACTTTTACCTCTTTGAGTATCGAACATGGTGTCAAACAGATCATTGAGCAGGAATGCAGACCAGGAATGGTTTTAATAAAGTGTATGAGCTTAATATCTAATGTGTACAGGTGCCTACTTATAGTTTAAAGTGGGTTTTTGCAAGGCAAGAGGAAGCATGGAAAATATATGTTTTATTTATCAACACCAGAGGCAAGTTTTCTTTGATATAGAGCTCTTAATCAATCACATTTTCTTCCTTTTAGTTTCTGTATTTATATTGATTTATTATTTGTAATTATATTTTAATAATTAATTAGTATTTGGCCCAAAATCACAAATAACAAATGTGCCTCAGGTTGCTTATCCTTTCATTAGACTGTTGCCACTAAGTAGGAATCCCCCCGTCCACTTTAAAATGTTCACTGTGTGTTCTGTACTTTCAACATTGAGCAGCAAATAAAATAAATAGCGTAAAATATAATCACCACGGAGCTATGCAACCAGACACACATCACACATACAGTAGTATGCGTATCTTCTATTTCTCAGAGGAACAATAATAAGTGTGAGCTGTATAGCTGGCTCTAATGGAAGATGGAACTAATGATATCTCATTAAATAAAAGCTGGTAACTTAATCAAGCAGCAAAAATGATGAAGCAGTTTAGGTGAGGGAGGGAGATTCATAAATTCATATACTACAAAAACAAACCTCATTATGGCTCTATTGAGCTTTTTGGGGTTTCCCTTTCCTGTATCGGTTACATAAATGTTTGCGCATGTAAATGGTCTAAAATCCGTTGGACTCCTTTGCTTACTCATGTCACATAATTACATCACTACGTAACACTCATGCTTCTATTGGCTAGTGCACCAACACATTTGACGTGATTGGTTAGCTGGCCTGCCCCTTAGCCTATCAGAGCAGACTGGGCTCTGGTTTCAGACAGAGGGTGAAAAGAGGTGCCGCAGCACAGGCAGTATGAGACAAATAAAGAGCTTTTTGAACATTAAAGCATGGAGACATGTCCCAGTAGAGGCAGGAAATACAAATATGAACCTGAAAATGAGCAGAATAAGGCTCCTTAAGAATGCTTTTTAATTTAATTGTCTGTGCATTTTGGAATCACCATACTGTACGTTATTGTATGCATGTTTTTGCTGTTGTGAAGTCTGTGTGTGTGTTTGTGTGTGTAATAGTTATCTCTTGTGTTCCTTGCAGGAGAGAGAGGCCCTGAGAGTCATCCCTCTGAAGGAGATTCACAAGGTGCAAGAGTGCAAACAGAGGTCAGTGAGTTCCTGTGAGGCGTGCATGAATCAGTGCTGCTGCTGCCAGGCCTTCACATGGCAGCTCATTAATAACCGTCTCTGTTCTGCAGTGATCTGATGATGAGGGACAACCTGTTTGAAATGGTCACCAGTTCCAGGACCTTCTACATGCAGGTAACACACATGAAGATAAATCTGTCAGTCAGTCAAATGTATATCCAGCCTTTCGTAAACCCAAGAACCAATAGTTTACATTTTTGTGTAAAATCTTGTTTTTTTTAGCCATGCTAGCAAAGTGTTTCTTGTTCCATCTGTTCTGCAATTCAGTAATCACACTGAAATAATGTCAACAACTATTGGATGGATGATGGAGATAAAGTGTATTACAAATCTTGACGTGGTGATCCCCTAACTAACTCACTCACTCTTGTGAATGGTCTCTACAACTATTTGATGGATTGTAATGTAATTTGTTCCACAATTACATGTTCCTCTCAGCAAAATGTAATTAGCGAATGTTAGCATGCTAACACGCTACACTAAGAAGATCATGATACACAGTACGCATGCTGTCCTTAATCAGCCTCACAGAGAACACAGAGATGTATTGTTTTTATAATCTCAGCTTGGAATATCACTTAATGTTTCTCTCTCAGGCTTTTAACACTGACATTATTAGCACTGCAGTAATAATACTATTTATGCATTTACAAATTACTTTTCCTAGAAAAACAATGAAACATGATCCCATCCTGTCTTTCTCTCTCCCTTTATTTCAGGCTGACAGTCCAGAGGACATGCACAGCTGGATTAAGGCCATCTCAGGGGCCATCGTAGCTCAGCGAGGCCCCGGACGCTCCGCTAACACTGTAGGTACACACACAAGGGAAAACACGTAGGTAAACTAACAAGGGAAAACACTGTAGGTACACACACAAGGGAAAACACTGTCGGTACACTAACAAGGGAAAACACTGTAGGTACACTAACAAGGGAAAACACTGTAGATACACACACAAGGGAAAACACTGTAGGTACACACACAAGGGAAAACACTGTAGGTACACACACAAGGGAAAACACTGTACTGTAGGTACACTAATAAGGGAAAACACTGTAGGTACACTAATAAGGGAAAACACTGTAGGTACACACACAAGGGAAAACACTGTAGATACACACACAAGGGAAAACACTGTAGGTACACTAACAAGGGAAACACTGTAGGTACACACACAAGGGAAAACACTGTAGGTACACACACAAGGGAAAACACTGTAGGTACACACACAAGGGAAAACACTGTAGGTACACACACAAGGGAAAACACTGTAGGTACACACACAAGGGAAAACACTGTAGGTACACTAATAAGGGAAAACACTGTAGGTACACACACAAGGGAAAACACTGTAGGTACACTAATAAGGGAAAACACTGTAGGTACACTAATAAGGGAAAACACTGTAGGTACACTAATAAGGGAAAACACTGTAGGCCGTGGCGCATTTCCATTACAGTTTAGGACCTGGGGTAGCAACGCAGTGTAGGCGGGGCGATCGGCTTTGTTTTTGTTCACATTTCGAGTTGTTCCGTCGAGCTCCCGCTGGATTTGATCATCCCCAATGAGATGTAGGAACGTCGTCACCTCCTCGGTCGACCACGGTGTGCTTTTCTTATTAGACGTAGCCATTTTTGTAGCTCATCCGTTTACAAAATGATGTTTATAAAAATGCTGCAAGCTTGCTTCTAGATATATATGCGACGCTAGGGATGATCTCGCGCGCGATCTTGTGACCATTCTCTCTGACCAATCAGCAGTCGAGAGTGTTGACGTCACTAGTTCAGCCCTGGCCCTGGTCTGAGGGAACCACGATTTTATGGGGCCGGAAAAAGAGGGGAAAAGTACCCGCGAGCCGGTACTAGGCTATATGGAAAGGCCACCAAAAACTGGCCTGGCCGCTTGAGGACGGTTAAGGACGCTTAAACGGGGCTACCCGCTGCAGTGGAAATGCGCCATTACAAGGGAAAACACTGTAGGTACACTAACAAGGAAAAACACTAGGTACACTAACAAGGGAAAACACTGTAGGTACACTAACAAGGGAAAACACTGTAGGTACACTAACAAGGGAAAACACTGTAGGTACACTAACAAGGGAAAACACTGTAGGTACACTAACAAGGGAAAACACTGTAGGTATACTAAAAAGAAAACATGTGTATAATAAAATACTCTTGAGGTATACTTATATAAAAATAAATATATGTAGGTATCCTTAAAAAATGTAGTTATCCTTTCAAATTAAAATTCAAAGATAGTGAGTAACATTTTAGTAAAGAAATAATGTTATACTCAGTAATAACATAGGAAATGGACAAATATACTATATATTTGACACTTCTGGCATTAATATTGAACATCTTTAAAAGGCATTGAGCCTGCATTAACAGATTTATAAACCAAGAGCAAAACCTTGTACTCAAAACTGAAGTGGACTCTAGTTAGAACACACTCGTTGGTTTGGAACAGCACTTAATATGGCGGATCCTCCGCGCGAACGCGCAAACGGAGGGGTAGGGTGTAGGGTGTAGGGTGTAGGGTGTAGGGTGTAGGGCGTAGGGCGTAGGGCGTAGGGCGTGGGGCGTGGGGCGTGGTTTGGGATTGGGCCTAAATTGTCTGGTCCAATCTAGGGATGGGAACGATTAATCGAATATTCAAAATTATTCAGGTATTCGAATATGAGTTATTGATCTTTTTACCCAATTTTTTTTTTCATAGGATATGTACATTTCGGTTAACCGTTTTTTGGGGGGTCGAATATTCGAATATATATTTGCTTTCAAATTCCCATCCCTACTCCAATCACTCGCTTGTTGTTCCAGTCAAGTAGCTCCATCTTGTGGTGGGAGGATGTAGTGCAGTTCATCAAGATTTAAAACAACACAAGGAACATTTTGATTAGATCACCTATATTTATTCAGAGAAAAATCAATTTGAACCTCAATTTCAATCGGACATAATTTGTATGATGATGATGATGATTGTGATTGTTTTCACAGGATGATAAGTGTTTGTTTCCTCTTGCACAAATGTTCTCGACACATCTTACACTCTGAGCTACTATTTATGTCTATTCTACACAAATGCACACACACTCACTCAAACACACTTTTTGCTGTTCTTACTCTCTCTCAATCTCTTCACTCTGTTCCAAAGAACACACAGTTAAGTCGTGGCTCCTCACGGTTTGAAGCCCATGGGAGATTCTCTCTAATGAACAGGAAAATACTCCCAAACAGCTTTACATTTATTATTATGTTCAGTTCATGTTATATTGAATGATGTTATATTCTAACCCATTGTATCCCATAAAAAACATCCCCCAAAGCACTGCATCTCACCTGTATGCTTCCAACTGTGTACTCAATGTGTGGAATTAATAGTTTTACAATTAAAAGGTTAATCATTTTACTTCAGAGAAAAACTAAGTATCAGTATCCAAAGTAAGTAAGTTGAAAATGGCCAGTCGCAAAAGTGAACTGCAGTCAAAGACACACTGTTTATTAATATTGAACATATTTCCAAATTGCACCAAATTCAACACTGCACTTTCTTGCCTTCCCAGCAATGACGATGACATGAAACATATGACAACATTTGAATGGGTTTCATTACACTTGTTCCTTGGATATTCCTCGCTGCAGTCAGGCCTCTGGATGGCTGTGTGGTGTTTTGGAGAGCAGCTCCTCACATGACTGTAACCGAGCTGTGCTGTAAACTGTTTTCAGATCCGTCAGGCCAGAAGGCTGTCCAGCCCTTGTATACCGAGGTATACGCCATTCTGCAGTGGTGAATGCAGCACGTATGTGACCCAGTCCCCTTCCCCTATGCCCCTATTAACCCCTGCCACCAGCCCCCCCGATCCCCTACCCAGCAGTAACCCGCTCACTACAGGAGTTCTCTGCTTCTGTGTCCCACTGAGGCCCTTGTATTTTTACAGTTAACTCATCATGTTCATCCCTCCTAAAGCTACTGACCGATACCCTATGAGTTAGCTTTGCAGTGCGGTCCATTGACAGTATTTGAATATAAGATTCAAATTGAACAGTTTTCTTGACAGTTTGCTCCTCAAAATGTCTTGAAAACAAAAATCCTAAATGATGTGAGTGCTGCATGAAGTGTTCCTGGTTTTTGACATTTGATCTGAGTCCAGGTATTTATCCCCAGCTCGTTGGCAGATGTGCTTGCAGAACTCTGATGATGTTTTTGTGCCTGTTTGTTGGCAGTATCCTCATCCTCCATCATAACCCGCCCCCCCCCCAGACATCATGCTTATAATTGTTTAGATTAACACACTGGTCCATCAACAGTAGCCTCGGAGATAAAAACAGCTTTGGTGTTTGATTTTTTAAGTCTGATCTTAAATTATTTCCTGTAATTATGATTTCGAAATGTTTGGAAAAAAAGATTTTGGTAGGATTATAAATTGTTCTAAATGTATTTACACCGGGAACAAATTAAAAAAGTCCTCTCTATTTGGAACATCATGGGTTAGTTAGTGGTACACTTCAGCCTCTAGTGGTCATAATAAGTATTAGAATAACAAGATGTTTATAAAATGGGGGGGAAAAGTGTTTTAGAGATTATTCAGGAAAAACTTTTTTTTCACAGATAAAAAAATCCAATTCAGGAAGATAAACCTGATGAAACATTTGTATGTATTCATTAGCCGTACATAGGATAGAAGACAATTGAAATCAGACCTAGAAAATGAATGGCAAGATTTATTTCTGATTTGTCTCATGCTATTGTTCATCCCAGCTACACATCTTTTCAAAAATACATTTTAAACTCGCTTTACGTTGACATCTTGGCATCATAATTGGAGGCAATCCACATAGGACTAAACCGCATCCTTTCCTTATAACATGACCAATCATCTCTGAACTTAAGTCTTTCTCCTCTTTCTTCCTCCCTGTCTCAGGTGTTTTTGATGCTTCATGTTGTTTCATTATTCACGTCTTAATAACATTTACAGCATACCTGAATCCCAGCGGAACTTCCAAAATTCATTATGAGCTTTCTCTTTTTTTCCCGCTAACCCTCTCTGTTTTTCCTCTGTGTGTGTGTGTCTGCTTTTCAGAGAGTAAGGTGTGACAGTGAAGTACTAACCTTCCCCAAATGAGCCCCGCTGCCTACTTCCTGCCCCTCCCACCGCTGCTCATCGTCCAATCACCAAGCCCCAAGCCCCACTGCCTCTCTGCTTCCTTAGCAACCGCTGTTTGATCTTGCCCTGCTCCTTGGCAACTGCAGCATCACTCGTTCGTACGTGTTGCTTGGAACTGCATGGACATTGGTGTCACAGTAGCATTTCACAACATTTATGAAGAGAACTTATTTTGTGTGACACCTAGCAATTAAGCTAGCAGGTTAAATGTTGTCCTAACTGGAATTATTTACAACTCTGCTCTTTCTTTACTAATATATAATGTTGTCTAACATCTAACCCATACAACCTGCATGTTACATTTTTCTGTTCATACCAATAATGAGTGTCATCACATTTGAAAGTATTTTAGGGAAATGTTTCCTTGATCACCAGAAATCAAATTGATGACAAAAGCTCGGATAACTGCTGTTAATAAGGGTTGGATGCTTATGATGATTATTATACTGCTTACACTATTTTTAATTCTAGTTTCTCCAGATCCTAAATCTTCTCTTGTATAACTACACTTGGCATATTTCACAACATTTTGCTTTATTTAATGTGATAATGGCAAATGTAATCGCTGCAGAATATTTTTTTCGCTATGCGATTCTGTCTGCCACTGGGTATGATCAAAAAGGCAGAAAGTAATGCTTCAACCATTGCGCAACCACAACAGCAACAAGATAAGAGTTTCCCTGGTAGCTATCTGGAGCTGCCCCCAGTTTCCAAAGACCAATCTTTATCTTCACGGCAGTTACTTTCCTAGTGGAAATGGTGGGTGTCGGAACAACCAAAGTAACTGTGGACAACAAAATGGAGTGTCCTGTGCAACTCTTTTCAAGTGAGAGTAACTAGCCTTTACTCCAAGAGTTGGTAGAATATAAAAAAAGTCAGGATAATATTTTGTCTGTTTTATAAAAGGTAAAAAAAAAGGTTTGAATATAGCGGTTGGTAGTACTTAAGCATCTAGTGGCCTTAATCAGGATTACAACATCAAGATACAAAAAATGACTCTATAAAATGATCCTGAAAAGACGTTTTCTTTTACAGATAAAAAAAATAAAATTAAGAAACTTCGAAAGATGTAATGTGATAAAAATATATTTAGATCATAGTGTGCTGGTGCACTTAAGCTTCTGGTGGCCACAATACGTATTACAACAAGATAAAAAAAGATGGATACAAAAAAAAGTTAGTCAGAAAAATGGTGTTTGGTGACGTCATCTTGCAATACATAAAGCTTAGTGGTTGTGTCAATCTCAAATGTTGTCACTAGTAGCATTTAGGCTCTGAGTTTACTGGTGAACAAGGTGACGATAAGTTCCTTATTTTGATTTTTTTTTTTTCTTTCATTTTTCCTCTCACTGCACTCCTCATCCCTCCAGCCTCCATCCATTGAGCCATCTTCCTCTTCCGCCTCTCACTTCCTCTTCTGTTTATCTCTCCAGGAACACAGTGGCAACTCCTCCCCAATATCAACATCCTCCACCTTCTACTACCCCCTCGACACGGATCTACCCTCCCCAGAACCCCCCACTGGCCCCTCACCAGCGGGCCCTCAGCTTCACTCTGGACCCCCACCACCAGGACAACTTCCTGGGTCTGCTGCCGTGGAGGCTGAGCGGCGGTCCGCCCTCTGCGCGCTCCCGCCTGTCGCTGCAGGAGACCGTGCACTCCTCCAAGTAGCAGAGGAGGATCAGTCACCATGGAAACGGCGCAGCGAAATCGCCAGGCAGGGGATTGTCGGCAGCGACGGTGACGAGGGGCTGAACGGTCGCACCATGGAGAAACCTGGCCTCCAGATGACCCTGATCTGAGGACGCTGAGGTCTCTAAAGGAAACACTCACTTCCTCCATGATTGGCTCCTACAAACCTTCCTAGGATCTTTGTATGTGTGTGCACTCGTGGAATAGGACCTGCTGTTTTCTTTCCTTCACTATCGTCTTCCCCGGATATTATTTACACATTGTGATGCAAGGAAATCAAATTGTAGATATTGTTTAGTGACGTTTTTTTCAATGTTTTAGTAGCGCTCATTAACCCCGCTGGTTTCATGAAGCATGTTAGAGACAAACCAAAGTTGTGCCGTTGTTTCGTGTCGTTGCAGCAGCAGCTTCTTCAAACTCTGGAGGTGTGAGACGCCTGTGTGGACTCCACTGTCTCCCTGACTAATCCGGCTTCTCAGTTTCTTTTTCAAGACAATCTCGCTTGATGCTGTAAACTCTTTCATTCTAAATGTCCCTTTTTAAAATGTGTTATTGTCTCTTCTCTCTCGCCTAATGTAGAAAAGGTATTCATGTTGGTGTTATGGCTCTTTAAAGCTCCAAAGTTTAAATTCACAGAGGGTGCATTTCTGCTTTTCATTTGTATGCCCAAAAATGTTACCTTTGTTGACAGATGATGTTTTAGAGGGATTTAAATCAGCATTTCTGAAAAGAAAAACAGTTTTGCATAAAGAATTAGGAACTTAAAAACGTTCCTTTTTAATATATAGGAAATCATAGATCACCAACTGTTTTCACAAGTGGTTTTCCGCTTCCTGCTTCTGTTTCATTTCAAATTAGAGTGATTTTTGGCCGGTCTATAGACCAAATGATTATTCAATCAATCATCAGATTTAATCAATGATGAAAATAATCCTGGTTGCAGCCCTAAAATGTATCAACGACTTATGTGGCTTTAGTAAAAGAGTTTAAGAGCTGCTTTTATTCACCAGCTTTACTCACCTCCCGCACTGTGTCACCGTTCCTTTGTAACTCCACCAGATGTTGACGTATTTGTGTTAATAATCAAAATTGTTCATCTGTTAAATATTTTTTCTGGACTGTTGGGAGTTGAGAGCCAATGATTTACAGACGTTTTCCTGTTTTGTCATGTTGGGCTGGTTGTGGGTGTTTTTCAGTTTTTATTGATTTCAGTATTCACAGTGATGAGATGCTTTCTAAAGGATATACATGTGTTGTTTACTGACTTTTATGAACACGTGTGCACGGCTGCATGCACACAACCCCCCACTGCTGTGTTCCTGTTTAACAAGGATGGGTAAAGTGCCTGCGTTGTTATTTCTAAAGAGTTGATAAAAGATTTGAGCTGTTCCCTTTTTATTGTGATTCTAAGACCATGTGCTCCGTTTATTAAAATACAAATTTGTTATAACTGCATGTAGGTGTCTTTCTTGCTAACAGGTCGATTGAAGGAGAAGCAGTGGTGCAAAGTAACTAAGTACATTTACTCAAGTACTGTAATTAAGTCCAATTTTGAGGTAATTGTACTTTACTTGAGTATTTCCATGTTATGCTACTTTGTACTTTAATTCCACTACATGTATTTAATCCCTTTAGTTACTTCACAGATCTGGATGAATGATGTGAAATCTAATCAAGTGTTAAATCAGACTTTAGTTCCACCTGGAGTAAATCCACCAGCTACCCTGCAGTATACAAAGTCATTCAAACTAGCTGCACCTTCACCAGCTTTGAGAACACTTTCATGATCAATCATTATAAAACATATCATATATATTATTCTGAAATGGACCAATCTGCACAACGACTACTTTTACTGTCGCTACTTTAACTATATTTTGATGAGAATACTTTGACTTGAGGAACATTTTGAATGCAGGACTTTTACTTGTAACAGTATTCCTACACCCTGGTACTTCTACTTTTACTCAAGTACAAGATCTGAGTACTTCTACTTTTACTCAAGTACACGATCTGAGTACTTCTACTTTTACTCAAGTTCCAGATTTGAGTACTTCTCCACCTCTGAGCAATTGTTGCTTTCCATTTCACATTAAAAGGTTATGTATAACTGTGTGTACATTTCTAGAAGGCAGGCCCGGACTGGCCATCGGGAGGACCGGGAGGTTTCCCGATGGCCTGGCCTGTTAAGTGGCCTGCTGGCCTGAGGATTTCTTTTTTTATACGTATGTATTGTGAACGCAACGCTGCGCAAATGTGGGTCTGACTCTGCCTCACAGAGGGTGACTGGCAGTAGCGTGGCGTGGGGAAAAATGTAGGGGAAGCCCATTTTTTGGGTCGGGGGGTGGTCAATAACGTAACCAGATGAGTGATTACAGCGCCCGGTATCATTTGACACACATTTGTATCACACAGATGCAGGACTTGCACACGCCTGTTATCTAACCGACAGGTCCGCACGCACTCTCCAGCTGAAACTCTCTCCTTATTAATTTAAGCATTTTACTTATTAATGTATGCAGACAATCACACAATCTATGTGATTTTTGGATTTACCGTGCCTCTCAATTGCCCGTGACAGGTTGGCAAGGTCGATGAATCCTGAAGTTGCCCAAGGATTGTTCAGGGAGCACGAATCCTTGTCAAAAAGAAGACATGGCCAGCAAATTTGACGCTGAAGTTTAGCGCTTCCAGTTAGCCACTCCGTGCGGACATAATTGTCCTCATTGAACGTCCGATTCTCTCCCTTTTTCCTCTGCGTACACACAGCTCGAGTGCGGGCATTGGCCTGTCATCTGATTTAATTTTTAGTTGCTGCTGTAGCGGAAGTTTAGTAAAGTTATGTTTGATTAAGTACGCCAAATCTCCACCCTCCATAATGCTTCATTTGCTTGATAATTTCTAACGGCGGTGATGACAGTTACAGTATTAAAACTGATGTTGATGTGATTTGATTGGATGGCAGTGTCCAATCAAATCGCCAGCCGCCAGCCGCCTCTGAAGGGAAGCAAGAGGCGGCTAGCTTCCCTTGGCATGGCCCTGACCAATCACAGGTTGGCAGGGGCATCACGTGGGCCTCATCTGATTGGTCAATCCCTCCATTTTTTTTCACCAAGGGAAGCTAGATTCGGCTGGCCTCCTCTCGCAACAGTGAGTGCAATCTACTGTTTCACCATAACATCTAGAGGGGCGCTGTTTGTTTCACTCTTTGTAAAATACTCAATGAGAATGGGGGAGAGCCGGGCCGGCAGCAACACACAGCAAAGGAGAATTATCGAAACAAAACAAAGTGTTTGTATTTATTTATTTAAATTATAACTACAATCCGAAAAAACAGGGGAAGCCTGGCTTCCCTTGGCCTCCGGGAGAAAACGCCACTGGTGACTGGCTGTCTACATGATGTGGCCTGCCGACATGGCCACTTTCATACAGATCATACTAATGCCCTCGATTGGCTTCTGTGTGTCATTCAAGCTCGGGAGGGTGTGTGTTATGTGTGGCGCGAGCGAGTGAGATAAAGCACGCGCACCGGTTACGTGTATTGTTGTTGTTAGCATCTGGTGCTAGCTAGCTGCGCTAACGGATATAAGGAGCTGTTTCAACAACAAGGTGGGGGAGAGTCCTCTCCTGTCAGACTGAGAGACTGATAACTACAACTCAGGTGAAGTAAAGGACTCTGAGTGTTTAGATAGTTAACTTAGTCTAAGTTCTCTGTGGGTCTCAAACGGTTTGGTCACCATTTATGTAAACACATAGGCCTATTTCCATTTTAGGGGGGAGTGATTAGTAAAATATGCATGAATAATAATTTTTAAAAAACGTTAACTAGGTGAAAAAAGGCAAGATAAACTATTAAAACTTGTTGAGAGCTAAAACTAGTCTTTGCTTCTGCCTCAAAGAGGAGCAGGGGGGAGACGGGTGAGGCTGGTTCAGGAGCCCAGACACACTCACAACTATAAATGAACCAAAAACAAATAAATAAACAATTTTCAGTGTTTTTTCATATTGGATGGTATGTTATTGGTTATGGCCATGTTCTTATGATTTTATGATTATTTAAATGTATAGGCTACAGTTATGTTTCATATGGGTGTAGTCTCTTTATTTCCCCCTCAAAGTGCACCAGATTGATGCATTTAAGTAAAAAATCTTACCGGGGGAGCATGTCCATATGTTTATTTTTGGGTAGTAGATTTAGAGGGCTATCACTGCAGCAACACTGTGAATATTGACAAATAAATCCAGCAAAATGGCACAAAAAACTGGTAGTGGCCTGGCTGGATGTATAATTCCCGGCCTGACTTATTGTCCCAGTCCGGCCCTGCTAGAAGGGACCATACAATGTTAAATATTTGGCCAAATGTTTAAAAACAATAAAAAAACATAAAAGCACGTAAAAAAATGAATAAAGACACTTTTTCAGATTTGGTTGTTTTTTAACTACATTTAAATTGCATGGAGGATTTGACCAAGGACTTGTGGAAATGCGTTATCGGAGAAACAAGCTAAGCTAACGTTAGCGGCTGCTAACAATTACAGTTGTGAAACCTTAACCAACTGCAGTCAACAGTGTAGAAAGTGTAAACTATAGTTCCATCAGGAGAGACTTATTATAGTAAACTTAAGTGAACATGTATCGACATTTGCACAAGATTATAGAAATGTGAATGGGGACATGTCTTCTTACAGACTTGCGGAAGAAAAACACGTTGATACATTTTCAATTTTATTATTTTCTCCTTTTAGCTTTGTGAAGCAACCTTGAGATGACGTTGTTTTTAAAGTGTGCTATATAAATCAAATGTATTATTATTATTATTATTATTCAATTGTAAACAAACACTGCTCGAAAATATCTCATTGGTCAGAGAGCTGTGGGCATAATGCTGCCTTTTGCAACATCCTACTTGTGTGAGATCGGCTTTTTCGCTTTTTCTGCTGTTGCTGCCATCAAAACCAAATACAGATCAAAGCTGAACATTGAGAATGAACTGAGAGTGTCTCAAAACACCAGCCCCGCTTTGAGAAGATCTGCGAGGGAAAGCAAGCACACACAAGTCATTGATAAGCTATGTGTGGAATAGGAATGGTAAAGTGATGTGATCGTTTGCAACCTGCAGTAGAAATAGTAGTTCATTAATATATTTTCCTTAAAGAAATTTGAATTTAAAAATCTACTAATCTGGGAAGAAGGCCTGCTAGTTTTAATTAGGCCAAATTAATTCACAGTATATATTACAAGCACTTTATTTGTTCATGTGTAATCCATAATAAAATATACAAATATAGTTGGATCTTTGTATCTTATTATTATTAGTAGAGAAAATGTAATGTTTTTACAACAATATACAATTAATCCTACCAATATAGATGGGAACCGGGTTGGGGGGTCCCGAAAATATTTCCAATTACCCAAGGGGGGCCCGACTGAAAAAGTTTGGGAACCGCTGCAGTATAACAAATCATCAGTTGAGGAAGTTTTGTGGTTATAGTTGTATTTACCTTCTTTGAACCGAAGGGTTGCCGGTTCAAGTCCTGATCGTACCAGTGTGGACTGATAGCTGCCGGTTCACTTCCTGGTCACTGGCGAGGTGCCCTTGAGCAAGGCATTGAACCCCCCGAACACCGCTCCCCGGGTGCTGTACATTAGCTGCCCACTGCTCCTATACTAGTTAAATGCAGAGGTCCAATTTCGCTATAATAAAGAGGGGTTTCATAGTCTCTCCCTCCCCCTCTCTAAACTGCAAAGCCCTAACATTGAAAGGATACATTTTACAACAACAACATGTTTGGATCATGACAGGTGGTGGTGTGTTTACACCCTTCAGTGCGTAGCTGGTCTTGTATTGCCACTATCACAAATGTTCCTACAGACAGTGTTTGACGTCATTTCATTTGACGTGTGTCCTGATTTATGGAGCAGGAAGCCTCCCTTCGTCCTGCTGTTTCTCATTAGGTGGAGGCTCTTCAAATAATGAACTCTTATGGGCCGGTTGTTGGTCATTACTTCATGATTTTTGGATGCCGGCTGGAGATCGTCAGTCCCAAAGCACCGTGTCATGCTGCGGTCACGCTCCACACCTCCAGGAGTGTGGAAGAGGAGCATCATTTATCTGAGCTGATGCACTGTGCATCTCTGGAGACAAACACTGAGCAGCCCTGATAGAAATCTGTGCAGTTCATTTGAATTAAATCCCAAGAATTGTGAAAGTACTACAATGGTCGACACCAATGACTAGTATCAGTATTATCTTAATTTGCAGCTTTCATAAGGCTACAATGACGACGTTTGCTATTTTCCCCTCATTATTAATTTGAGCTCAGCTAGACCATATGTTCCTCATCATGTATGAATAACACAGAAACATTGTTTTACTGCTCTCTGTGGGCATGTTGCACTTTGGGCCACGTTCCAATCAATGATTTTAGAGGCTGACCTGGTGGGTAAAACAACA